AATTTTTTTAGTATATTACTTGTGTGGTGTAGAAGATAATTATTTATGTAGAGATACTGCTTGCAAACCAATGATGTAAGATGATGTCATGGGGTAGGACTGGATAAGTCTGACTTCTTCCTACTCCATTCAAGCATGTACTAGGTATAAGCAAATTGATATTGGATTAGCATTTGTTGGATATGTGTAAAATTATGTGTGTTGACATATCAACTGTCTTTACATGCTTGAAAGAATAAATCAATTCAAATCAAATACCTCCTTACCTATGAGGAAGTGGGAACTCCCAGTGGCTTTTTATAGACATGGGAATGGGTCATATGGTAATGTTATGTACAATGCTATCATGATTTAAGTAATTTAAATCCTAAATCAAAAAGACATCTGGCTTAAAAGAGAGTTCTTCTCTCATATGTGAGTGGCAAAAGAAGTATTCAGCTGCTTTACTTACATAAAGGTGACTACTGAGGCCATTTTCACAGAAGATACAGTATTTGGCCATGTCGAGGAAAAGCACAGGGGTAAATAATAACAGTTATGATGGCTGAATTCTTACTCATGTTGGCTCATGGTCACAGCCTACCGGGGCACTCAAATAGAACAGAGCCCCCACTAACACTATTAGCCCCACCTGTGTTTTCCTACTATTGTAGAACAAGTCAAAACGATTCCTGGGGAAAAGGGCTGTTACAAGTAAGAGTCCTCTGGCTAAAAATAGTTGCATCCCTGCATTTCTGTCAGATAAGGCACCAGTTCTCCCAGAACACTGTTGCAATCACAAATTCTTTGGTATCCACATGTTTATTTCTTTTGTTTGCAGCGGAACAACACAAAAAGCAGAGAGAGAAAAACAAATCAGATACATTCCACACAAAACTCCAAAAATGGACTGAAAAGGATTATTGAAACTATATTTCAAGCATGTGATGCTTGCAATAGGCATCTGTCACAGAGACCATACTGCAGTGAGTAGCCCACTTGTGGTAATAGTTTCTTAATACTTCTGTGCTTTATTTAAGCAGCACACAGCATTGATTTACTGTGAGAGTCTTAAGTACAATACTTGAGAAAATGTCATATTTCACATGCTGTTGCACAGGACAATGTCATCATTATGCACGTGCCAGTCCACAAAGGAGAGTTAGCAAAAAGATGGAGTTACAGGGTTTCCATTTTACTGTGGGGTTTTCAGTCCTCTGTCACGTCGTCAGCAGGACTCTATACTCCATTCAGTACTTCTTTCGCATCAAGCTTTCCTCTGGACCTCCAAACCTGCTGGTGTCCGCAGTGCACATGTCCTCTGCCTCCTGATGCTGGAGGAGGAGGTGCCGGCTCGTGCAGCTCCGCCCTCGCGCGCGGCGTAGTTTAAATTGTAAGGTTCGGAAATAAACGGGGGTCATTTGGACTGTTCGTTTTTGGAGTACCTTGTCAACGCCAAACCCTAACTTTCCAAATCCAAAGCTCCCCTGAACACAGACTTCTTCCCGTTATGTAAGTACTGTATATAATTTACTGTGGAGTGTCGTGTAACGACTGGTGATGCTGTAGTGCACTTGTCAACCCGCATCTCTGTCAATTTCATAACTTTGACTCCTTTTGAGAAAGAGGATTTTCTTCCCCCCTCCCACATGCTTTAAGTATATAAAATAAAATAAAATGATGTGCTAGGCATTATTACTTTACTTGGTAGGCGAGAAGACTATTTAGAAAGTTATTAGCTTGTCTGGGTAATAACCTAAAAAGTGTGCCTTTGCTAAATGCGTTGCTTTAAGTGGAGAAGCTGACTGGTTGTCAGGTCTACAGAGCACCGTGTAAATCATGTTTGAATACAATTTTACAGACTTTTATTTGTGTATTAAAGTGCTCTAGAGAGTAAACAGGCTATAAATGCTTTAGCTGCATTCAGGGCATCACGAGGGGAAGTTCTCTTTGAATATCTCAGCAAATAAATGTCACGACTCTAACCATGGAGCTTCCTGTTTCCCAAATATGGTCGTATAAAGCCTCATTTCTGTTGAAGATGCAGCTGTAGTGATAAACTGACTCCTGACAGTTTTCATGCCTAGCCCATAAGTGGCAGTAGCGTTACTGAAGGAGTGTATTTAATCCTCCGTGACAGCCAGGTGTTTGTTCTCTCCATAATTATACATATTGGGAATACCCCAATAATGTCTGCACATGAACTGTGTATGCCTTTCTCAGGTGAAATCCTAATGTGTCAGGAAGAATGTTTGTGAAACAGCTGAGAGAGGAAATTAGTAGAATCATTCTCAGGTCCTGCAGGTGAACCTGTTGCACACAAACAGAAAGGTGACTCAGTTTCCTGGGTGGCATTTTCATGTATTTGTTGTTTTTGATAGAGACTCTAAAATAATTGTTCTGTATTTTGGGCTCATATGTTCTGCTTCTCAGCCTTGGTGAAGTGATGTGTTTAGGGACATAAGCCAGTGATAGCGAAGGATTCGGTCGTCTTTACAGAAATGTTATAATGCTTTGACTTGATGGTTTACGTGGAAGTAAGGACGTCAGTGAATTTGTGTATTGCTGGAATGTTCCTGTGTTATTGTGAATTAGAAATATCATAATTGTTATTATGTGGGTAGTTTATTTTCCTGGCGATTGTAAATATGTATGTTGACAAATAGAGCGTTGTGATGGCTCCATTTCTTCTCCCCTTTAAATTTCCAGTCAGTCCGGATCAGCCTGTTATCTTGTCAACCCCACTTCAGACAGCCGTCTTCATTGCACACTGGCTGAGTACAAAGATGTGCTGACACAACAGAGAGAAACAAAGGAGCTTTGCAAAGGTATTAAGCCAAGGTGGTCAAAGTATTAAAGGGGAGTGAGGAGGAGGTGCTTGGCTAGCTGCACATAGTTTAGCACAGGAGGAGTGTCAGGAAACATGTTTACTTTACTGGTCATCAAAGCATCAGCTGGTCCCTTCCTTGTTTCTTCATATCTCAGATCACTGGACCCACCATCTTTGCAGTTTGTTTGACAAATTGGAAGTGTCTTTCTCTGTCTCCATTTAATATTTATGCAATATCATTCACTAGTCTCTGGATGGTTTGGTTTGGCTCATCCCTCGGGTACATTTAAAGGCTTTCTCAGGAGGCTCCGTGACTTTTTTTACATAGTTCCCACTCGATCAAAGTGTGTGCCAGTCTCAGTGTACACAGAATTGGGGAGAGGGGCGAAGTAACAGCCTGTACACAGGAGTGACTCATTGTTTGAATCCAAGAACACTACGTTTTCTATCGAGTAGTTAAGAGGCTAATCCAATTGCATACATCATAATATGATTTTGGAGTTTTATGAGGCTCATTGGATCATTCTTTTTTGGTGGTAGATTGAGATGTGTATGATATATTTGAAAAACTTGCTGCCATACTGAATTACTTGCGCTTCAGAAAAAGTTGCTTGCAGGTGCAATTCCTTTTTTTCATTTTATATTACCTCCCACTGTAGATACCACTCTCAGACACTTGCTCATAATTTGCCACTGACTGTTGCATTTACAAATAAATGCTGCTGGGGGCCCATATGAAGCGTGACTGTCAAAGATTCGGGCCCCCCTCAGGCTCTCTTCCTTGCTGTTATCATTTCAGAGTAAATGACGAGGCCAGCAGGAGACATACTATTCCCTATATGGACAGTGTTTGGGAGTTCACTTGCCTTGCTGTTTAGGTCTGCAGAAAAAAGTCCTGCTCCAGAGAAGGGCCCAAATATGGTCATCACAGCACGAGACTGAAGCCTCCTAGCTGATAGACAGAGAGAGAGAGAGATGGCAGAGGAAAGACAAAAAAAGTGGATGTCAATTAAGCAGTGACATAATGACTGTGCATGAGTACATGGCAGGAATCACTAGTGGTCGGGAGATATTTCTTGTAAATTTGTTAGCTATATGTGCTGATCTTTGTTATTGAGTTAATTATAATAAATTTCTCAGCCTCAGTCTTTCTATCTAAATTAAGGGGGGAATTGTTTGAGTGTCTCCCATGTGGCATCTGTGAAAGTATAGGGTCTGGAGGGAGTGAAGGTCTGTGAGAATGACTCCACTGTGGAACTCTCCCGATGAATGAAACATGTTAACTCTTTGAGTTACTGTGCAACACAAGAACGAGACATCTTTTGTAGCATGTCTCCTACCTTATCACTTATAGTACATTTTAGTTAACCATGTGCACAACGTGTTGTCTTTTTAGACAGACTCTTAACTGCCTTCCTGTCTTGCTTTGTTCCCTCTAGCCTCTCTTCTTTCCTCTGTTAGTTCCTTCCTCTCTTCCTTTCTGCCTGCCTTTTGTCTACTTTGTCACTCTTTTCTGACGTCCAGTTGTTTTGTTGCCTCAAACAGCTGGCCCTCCACCCTAACCCAAGATGTCCAAGAAGGCCCCAAGTGAGGATGAGAAGTTCCTCTTTGTTGACAAAGACTTGCTGAACAGCCCAATGGTACAGGCCGACTGGACGGCCAAAAAGCTGGTGTGGGTCCCATCAGAGAAGCATGGCTTTGAGGCAGCTAGTGTCAAGGAGGAGCGCGGCGATGAGGTGCTGGTGGAGTTGGCTGACAATGGCAAGAAGGTGACTGTCAACAAGGATGACATCCAGAAGATGAACCCGCCCAAGTTCAGCAAGGTGGAGGACATGGCCGAGCTCACCTGCCTGAATGAGGCCTCTGTGCTGCACAACCTCCGCGAGAGGTACTACTCTGGCCTTATTTATGTAAGTACAATAACGCTTTCACACCAAAACAGTACTGTATGTAACAATGCACAGGTGTTTGTAGTACTATACTCAACTTTATTGATTCCTTAACCCTTAATCCTAATCTTAACTTGCTGAACTAAGCCCTGACCCTAAATAAGATGCTTATAAACCTGATTCACACCTACATAAATGTATAATTGCTTTGACTTCATGCCATGGCGAGTCTTCCCATACAAAAACACAGCTTGTACAAGCTGTCCTCAAGACTCAATTCATTATCATGACCTCTGTCCTCAGACTTACTCCGGCCTGTTCTGCGTGGTGGTGAACCCCTATAAGATGCTGCCAATCTACTCAGAGAAGATCATTGACATGTACAAAGGGAAGAAACGACATGAAGTTCCTCCTCATATCTACTCCATCACCGACAATGCCTACAGAAACATGATGCAAGGTAGGATCCTTATGCTGCTCGCATTCCCCCTGTGACATACCGGCCTCATTCGGTTTCTTTCATTCCTGGTTCCTTCCATTTATTTGTTCTCTCACATTGCAAAGACATGCGGGTGGACAAGAGACTGAAGAAACTGTTCACAGTTGTGTGCTTCTAGCTTTGTTAGCACTGCAATGGGATAGTCTCCAGCCTTCAATAACTGTAAATTATTAAATTAAATGAGTGAATCATTTCAAACAGGATAATGCAACATAACATAAGAGCTGGTGTAACTCACTGACGGTCATCAAGCTCATGTTAGTGTGTGCAGGCCAAAGCTGATGGCCTCATATGCAAGTTATTTTGGTGAAACGGAAGTGTGTGCTGATTGTTTTGTGTGGATTAGCTGTAGTGGTGCATACTGGGCGTATGTCCACCTTTAGATGGAGTCATTTACAATATACTCAAACATAGCTACAGATACATATCAGTGGCTGTCTTGCAGGCTAGAGGTAATCATGTTACTGTCTTTCATGTACAGTAGCTGTGGTGTTTACTGCAAACAGGAGATATTTGTTCCTGGCATCTGTCTTTAGGGCAGTGTCTTCCCACAGGAGACATAAGTGCCCTGTTAAATCTGCACCAACCCTGGGGTGCGCAAATACATACAGTACAAACATCTGAGCTCAATTACACAGATGATAGTTAGGAACTGGAAGCAAAAGCATCTTAAGGAGGAAATGATGAGACAGACATTACATTAGACAGCAATGTAACACTGCGACACCACAGGAAAAGGATGTTGATCAGCGGTTCACTATCTAGATCTTGGAAGTGGTAGTGCTGCAGTAAAAAAAACAAAAAAACAATACAAATCACAGGTAAAAGTTGGCTACTCGTCATTTAAACAGTGCTGACTGTTATATATTATATTATTGATTGATTATTACAGATTCATTAATATGTAAGTAACGGTATAAAGTTGGCCAAACTGGAAACACTTGAGTACAGTACCTTTAATTTATACTTTAATAAAGTTACATTAGTTACATTCTACATTACATTACCTTCAAATAAACCAAGTTGTGTGATATGTATGTAGACACTACTACACCACTGGGTATCAGCTGTCTTGCTGGTGTCAGGGTGATGACAATTAGCAGTGTTGGCTTTGTCATGTTGACAAAGTGGTTGATAAAAACCCATCGCTGTCAGGCTGATGGTCTCAAATGCAGAACTATGTTTATTATTATGCACCATCCATAGGCAACCTCAGAGCACAATCTGTCTGCTGCAAGCCCATTACACAACAGTCTGGTATGGAAAATATAAAAACTAAATGTTTACTTTATGGACTGTTACTGTACTACTAGAGCCAGTGTCTCACAAAGGCGACGATAGTGGTCTTGGGAGAATTGTGCTTACAGTAAATGTCTCTTGGCACACCCTGTGCTTGTCTGACTGTAGAGCAGCTGGTTTCCCATAGAATCTGGTTCTTGTACTTCCTGGGGGTCATGCCCACTGGACTTCATGCTGACGTGAGGATGTTTTCTCAGAGGAGCTGACATCTGGATTGAGAGATGGGTGGAGGGTAGGCAGAGATTTCCTGTTTCAACAGCTTTCATCATTCAGATTTTCTAAATTCAATTTTTATTTTCTGGTCAGTGTGATTATCAAAGAATTTTTCTTGCGTGAGAAAGTTTAAAGGTCCTATATAATGGGTTGGTGATTGTAGTCTTCTCCACTGATTTGATGAGTTTTTCACTGAAGCAGGATGTTTGGACAATATTCTCAGTAATGTTAGGAAGGAACTGTTTAACGAGCTCCAAGTAAGTGGGATTTTCCAATCTTCTAGTGCCAACCCATCTCTCTGGCTACACGGCCAGACACCCACAACCCAAACAAATAAAAATACCGAGAGGTATTTACGAGAGGTAAACCTGTGGGTTTTATATTATGAAAACTATTGGACGTATTGGCCAAAATGACATGGGTGTCATATAGACAGCATGTATCATATAGCTATATATTCCCGGTTAGAGAAAAGAGATTTCACCATTATGCTTTCCATACTAATCACTTATTGAATATACAGTATTAAATACATTATCTCACCTGTACCTACCATATGATTGTTGTCACTTCCTGTCAATATTCTACTTAAGCTACAGCATACACAAGTTGTGCAAGTGCATTCTGATACATCATTTTGCTCTTGGTGGTTAAGGTCTAGCCCTGTGATAGACTGGCAACCTGTCCAGGCTGTACCCCGCCTCTCGCCCAATGTCAGCTGGGATTGGCTCCAGCACCCCTGTGACCCTATTCAGGAATAAGTGGTATAGATAATGGATGGATAATGTCTGTGTAAGGGAATGGATGCATTGACCTCTGGTCTGGCAGGTCCTTGACAGGACTGATCATGTGGAAAGAAAATGGAGAAGCCTAAGAAAAATAGGTGCAGCAATCTGTGGAGAGCTTGAATGTTAAGCTGGTATTCTGTTTCCTCAGTTCCTTTGGCAGCTTCAGTTTAAATATCCTAAATCAGTTTTAGATTGTTGATAATGTAGCTCAGAGCGTTCTCTTGTTTTAAGACTGCAGCTGTCACTAACATGTGTACACAGGAAATTGTAGTATTTACCACTACAGCTATGCTGTGTAAATACTGTGTCGTGAGTACACAAGAAGAGGGAGGATTGATTGGTGTATGTGTGGGTGTTTGTATTACACTTCTTCAGAAAAACCCATACAGCTGCAAGAGATCCTTTCCAGTTAATGGGAAAATCCCACACTTATTACAACCCACAACACAATGTGCACAAAAAAGAATGTGTTTGATTTGCTCCATTTATTTCAGGCTAAACAAATCAGAGATTTGCTTCAGCTCATGATGTATTAAATAGAAATTAATACGTTGGCTTGTGGACCACCTACCCATTCAGCTTTAAAATATGACACATGATTTAAACTGCTTTAAACAAGTGGCATCAACGGCAACAGCAATGACAGCATGGCCAGTTAATAAATGCAAAAGTAAAGATAAAGGCAAAGGGAGGCAGTAAACGCTATAAAAAACATCACATGAAAGTGAACCTTTAAAAAGGACTTTTAAGATGTGACTACCACCAGGACCTCTTTAGAAAAGTTGTTTCAAAACCTGGGATTTCTGACTGAAAAAGCACAGAGGTCCTCAGCGACCAAAAGGTTAAGAATAAAACTACTACAAACCCCTTTTGAGCTTTTATTATATAACACTGTGGCTGGCAATGAGCTGTCACTGTTGATGTATTAGTGAGAGCTCCGATGAAGTAGCCATTATTAATAGAGGATGTTCTGCACCGGGTGCCGTAGCACAAACAGTCCACATGTCCTTCTTCTTCAATCTCGGATGGGATCCCATTCCTCCAAAAATGTTCCTCAGTCTTTGATGTCCAGGAGATAAAGATGTGAAATTCCCAAAAGGAATTTGCTGTCCCCGTCAGCAAATGACTGGTGTGCTGTTATTTTTGTCCTCAGTGTATTTACTCTGCTCTCAGAGAGCTGCAGAGACACTGACACCCTCATGTAATCAGAATTAGCTTTGGTTGGTTATTTCACATGAATGAATCGGCATCACAGAAATATATTTAATATTTTGCAGTGATGTAAAAATCGTCTCTTCTCGCTGAGTCTCTGGTGCTGTGTTGTTTTTGATAGTTTCACAAAAGCTCACAACACCAGCCACCTCTCTCTCTCTCTCTCTCTCTCCATCTGCCTTAATTAGGAGGTGCAGAGGGGGAATGGGCTGCATTTTAAGTGTGCGTGTGTGTGTGTGTGTGTGTGTGTGTAAGAAGTGGATCCAGTGGAGCAGCAGCCAAGCTTGAGTCCAAACGAAGGAACAGCATCTGTACTAGTTTAGAGTTCTGAGCAGGCTGCACAC